ATTGGGTGTTGGCTGGCGCCCGCACTCTGGCAAGATGTTTTTTGTCATCAACGGCGCAATCATGGCCCATGTGCGCACACCCTGGATCAACAAGAGGATGTATCCAATTATTAGTGCCGACGGACCCTGCAATGTCAGCGTCAACCTAGGTGCGCGTGCCTACGTTCTGTCGCACGCCAACATGCGGTTCTGGGGACTGGCGGCTGCTGAGGGTGTGCGGCCACCACCGCCCATGTACCACCAAACCCAGGACACGACACTGGTGGCATCAGCCGACAACGAGCACGCAGGGACACACTCTGGATGGCGCAACTCGCTGGGGCTCCGTCCGCCGCCAGCATACGAGGATTCTGCAAGTGTGTCAGATCTGAATAGCATTTTGGCCAGCGATGCGCCTACCCGACGATCAACTACCGAAGAGCTATCGTCTGACAACGGCAATGGCAGACAAGGCAGCCAATCTTCAAGCGGTAGCAGCATGTCAGAGGCTCCACCATATGTGAGCAACGCGCCTGAGGTCCCTCCGGTAAATATTGTGCAGGTCAATAGCTACATCCAGGGCGTTAGTAGCAGCAATGGAGGCCCGATGCCGTCCTATTCTGTTGGCCAAAGTAACCTTCAGAACGAGACAGGCGTCGGAGATAGTCCAGACGCTCAGACAGATGAAGTGGTTATCAATATCTCTCCATCCAGACTATCGCCACCACTCCACCGCAACACAACACCCAGGCACCCTACTTTTTGTTAGAACACTTTAATAACAGCGCATATAGCATTAGCTTTATCGGAAGTCGCATTTCAATGTTTACATTTACAAGCAAACAAACAGCCTTAAAAGGTAATGCAAACAGAACGACCTTGCGCCTGTTTGTTTATTACAAAGACAGGAATGTTGCTTCAAACCATTCACTACTCTGCTGGCTGTGGTTTAGCGGGTTTATTGGATAAGAATTGAGACAAGGTTTTGGTGCAATTATCATACTACTGGAGGGAACTAATGAAGGAAAGCCTGAACCTGCTCTGTAGTGTTCGTGTGCGCATGGACAGTGACCTCCAGTAGTCAAGAATATATCAAAAGTCAGGAGAGCAGTATACGTCATCAAGAATATCGTCATAGTCATCATTCCTTGAAACAAGTTTAGTGAAATATTTAGAGATCATGATATTGCCTTCCTGAATGACGAGGTACTACGAAATTTCTGAACCAAAGCACAGAGAAAAGATAATGAAGAGAAAAGCAGGGATGCAGCCAGCAGACCTCAGCGGAAAGATCAAATTTTCGCTTTTTATAGACCCTGGTGTAAGTTGAAACAGTGCTGGCAAAGCCTCAGACAACGCTAACAACCCTCCGAATCCTAATCCTTACACAGGCACACAGCTCTTATTAAGCCTTCAATCCCTCCACAGCCACTTGGCAGTGGCCATTGACAAAATGGATAATAATAGCCAACTATTGCGAAAATACTTTCTTCCCTTGTGAAATGAACCCATTGCCACCAGTCTGTGGCACAGTTGCTCACAGCATATATAGGATTTCTAAAAATGGGGCAGGGTGGCCAAAAATGCAGAGCATTCAGTCTCCACTACATGTGTGGTGCCAGGTGCCTTTCTTCTGTCAGCACTCATCATAGCCCACAAAATATACTTCAATAATACGGTGCGTGCCTAAAACGACCTAGGTCAAATGTCAGGGAAGAGGAAACTAGGTAGCGTGTTCTCCTAGTGATGATTATAAATGTGCTGATAAAACCAAAAGTAAGCGTTCACAAAAATATATTGGAAAAACCAGGAGGAATCCCAGCTGCTAGGAGCCAGCCAGGGGTATTTAAGCAAGCGCCGAGTGCGCATACTGAGCCCTCATCTAAGCCGCATACGGTCCTGGATAAGGCTGCGCCACTCTCAGTGAGTAATCCGCCTTGGGTGAGTCAGAACCACCCTAGCGGCATGACACATGAATGTACTTTCAAATATGCCAGTGAATTAGATGGGGTTTGTTGCATAACTGATCCTGATCCTTAGATCCACGCCACAGTGCATACGCAAGAGTATAGTGGCCCCACTATATAGTTCAGTACACGCCAGCGCGTCAGCAGCCCTCCTTAGTTTCTTTACTGTCACTAGTTATATACCACGTTAAGTTACCAGTATCACAACAGGGTTTGGGTAGAAGGGCGAATGAGTTTGCTGATTGTTGCTTTTGTACTCCACCGAAGTGAAGATATCTGCTCTAATACTCTAACCGGGCCGAGGGTCGATGTATATTGCTGCATAAGCTCCAGTTCACTTGCTCTATATGGCTTTATCAGTTCAGTTTCCGAAATGCCCATGCATTGCTCTGCCTTTTAAGTTATGAAACAGGTTGAAGTAGTGCTGTTTCTGCATAAGCAGACTGCTATTGAATTTTTGTTTTGACCATATACAACAGCCACTGTCAGGTGGAGCTGTACTCAACCAAGAGTAAACGGCAGGCTTTTGGTCCTGGGCGGCGTGTTTGGTGTGCTAAGCCTCATCACAGCAGCACAGATGTCACTTGCCTGTGGCTCAATCGGCTCAACAGACCAATATCTAAGATAGGTAAGCCGAACAACATGCAATAAAATACATAGCATGACGCTACCTCTCATTGCACCTCATGTACTATTCATATGTTTCGCTATTAATATCCACGAAGTTAGAGGTAAATGTCAAGCGAATATTCGGAATATGGTCGACCAATGGTGCTGGCCTCAATATGTATAGCAGCCTCTCAGCTCCAGGCATCGATTATTGATGCTGCAATGTAAATAATAGTGAGCGTGAAATTAAAAAGCGATACCAATTCGTAATGTTGAAAAGAGGCAGGGTTATATAGTCGAGGAGCCGACTGTGTTTTTAAATTGGCCGTTATACTTTGAATTTACCCTCAACGAACTACCACGGATCACATCAAAACTGGATTGAATAATTTCCGTATGAGGAGAGCAAAACAATAGATATCAACCCACTGCAGGCTTCCCCGTGGTAATGTCTAGCAGAAGAATAGCATGTATTAGAAAATGAAGCCGAATATTAGTGGTATCAGTTTGTGATACCGATATGCTGTAAAGTGCCTGGTAATTTTTAGAATCCTCATGGCTATAACTGGGGAGTTGAATTATTCACTTGTTTCTTTTGCATGCTAAAATCATAGTTGATATTCTGAATAATAATTAATACTGAAGAAAGTCAATAGGCACATAGTAGCTGTAGATGTGGATGTGCCGCCTTAGTTGGTAGTGCCTAGTCAGCAGTCGATTAACCTTAGTGGCCTGTGTGCCATTGATTGCACAGCTTTCGACACGCGGCAAGCGACAAAGGAGCTGGGCAGAACCCATCCGCGTCAAATGCCTGGTCAGAGTAGAGGTCAAACAACCTCAGATTCCAGCTGAGTACCTGGAATGGATTCTCATTAGCATAACTCTTTTTGGTAATCACTCTGGGTCCCTCCGGGATGTTCACTTCGTCAGGATAAACCGTATTGCAGGCGACATTTGCATCCATCGATACGCACTTGATATGGAGTGATTCCAGCTGCGGCAACTGTGCCACCATGTTGCAAAGCATACCATTGTTGGCGATGGCCACTGCCAGGTCGAGCGAGACTAGATCGTGCCAGTTGATAATGCGAGGGCAGTGCGTAGTAGACTGGACCGAGCATGACGACCGTTGCGGACTGTGGACTCTTGGGAGAACATATTCAGGATAGTATCTGACGAGTATCTGCGCTTGTAGAACTCTCCTGTGGGATGATCCAACTCGAACTGCTGCGAATTCTGCAGGACACGCCAGTCGATGTGCTCGAAGGTACTTGGATCGTCTATGACTACTAACTTACTAAAATACGTTAGATATAAAGTGTGCGTAAATATCACTGTACACACCCATGGCATTGGTGATACGCATCGAGTTCAGCACTGGAAAGACGACGGGATACTGGTATCCGGGGAATGCGATCTTGTCTTTAGCATTCACAACAATTCGAAGTCTGCCTTTTCCAAACTCTGAAAAGCCAGCTGTCCTTGGGTCAACTCGAAAAATATCCAAGGGATGGCAGCGTCGATCCGAAGCAGGTAGAGAATCCGCAAACGACGGGCAGGAATCGGCGGTAGTTTTGCCCACCAGCGAATGTGCTGGATGTTTTATCGACAGCGACGTCAATCTTCACAGAATTTTGAAGCTCTAAAGGCGTCGTGAGGTGCAGCTGAAGCGCTTCTAGCTGGTGTACATATTTCATGAAAGTCTGCTCAAACAGAATGCATGCGTCGGGTGGCAATTTAGTGTATCCATGAGATATCCCCACTTGCGTTGCAGATGGTTCGTGAGATCGCTCACATTGGGGAAAAGCGTGTGGATTAACTTAGCAGCAGCTTCAGCATCCACAATACTAGCCTTCAAAGCACCACTGCCCACTTCGACTAAGCCTTCGCCAAGGAATAGTATCTTGCGCATGGCTGTCAACGGTTCGCCGAGAGAACCCGCAAGTTCAGTTAGCGCCGGATTGAGATCCAGCATCTTCGGGTTCACGTCGTGTGCGATGACTCGGAACTCCCTAATCAGATGGCACTTCTTGAGAAGGTCAATTGTACGCAAATTCGAACGCCAAATGCGTTGATGCGGTTTTTCGCACAAGGGACTTGTGCAGTGGCACGGGTTGTTGCTCTCCAGGAGCAGGACGGTGAATGCTACGTCATTCAGCTTGTTGACACGGTCTGGATATGTCTTGGCGAATTGTTCCACGTAAAAGTAGTCGTTCATTGTTGAGACGGGGCCAACAGAGTTCTCGCTGACCTTCACGGACAAAGAGGCAACTAGAAGCGCCAGTTACGGCCATTGCTCCGGTGAGACATGGTGAAGAGGGGACGATGTAGAAGCTTAGATTGCGTTGGAAAGGGCGGTATGCTATAGTAAGCTGGGATGGAGTAGCTAGGTGCTTGGGGATAAAATAGGCGATGAGGAACAGAGACGAGGTGGGTAGCGCTTTTCCCTGAGCATTTATACCTCTTTTGAAATGTCCTGCACACTGCGTGCTGTTTTTTTGACAGCACTTGCCAACGGCATGGTTCCTCGCTGTAAGGGAACTGCAAATGTATGGAAAAGCGTATCCGATTACGCGGCCACCTGGTGTGCCCATATCAAGACATTAACGGCCAGTACTATCCGGCAAGCAATAGCATTCTGGGAGGAGGTTAGAGCATCTACACAGACAATGACACAGGAGCACAGGTGAGCAGGTAAGCCACCGCTTGGAGAAGCGCAAAAATCCACTCGGCAGGATTGCAGCTCGTTCTTCTGTCAGTTCCCCTTGTTGCAGAGTGCGCTGGGTAGGAAATGTGCAAAGGTGCTTGTCTCTCTGCCCTGATGGCACGGGGAGTGTGTTTCTCCACCCCTGTTTTCAACTGTAACCTGTACCCAGTTTCTTTTGCTGGCGATCTCAGTAGCAAACAAGCAGCCATGCGCATACATGCTGCGGATGTCATGCACAATGCCGAGACAACCTGGCATTCTTACTTTTTTGGCGCTGCTTTTTGGCGCTGCTTTTTGGCGCTGCTTTTTGGCCAACAGCAGGGTGAAAGGCACCAGTGGCGAAGCTGGCTATATCCAGGCAGTGCATTAAAGTGGGTTCAAGTGCCCTTTTTACAAATAAAACCAAATGGCATTCTATTACAAGCAGATGTAGTCTTTTGCCTCGAAATGCGTTGTAACCCGAGTGAAAACTCGCCTGAGGGTGGAAAACTAGATGCTGGAGAGGGAGCTAGCTCGTTGGAGGCGGCACAGGTTGACAAGAGTTCGAAAAAGAATAATGGAAACGAGGGACGCACAGGTGGCATGGTGCATACGTGTCAACTTGTCCGCTAATAGAGGGCACGGATGTGCAGCGGCTAAAGATAGCCTGCCCAGCAGCGTTTCCAAGGCTGTTTGTCGCTATCCTGCCGGTTTTGTTTTCCTCCATTGCTGGCTATGCCGCTCTAGTCTGTTGCTTGAAATAAGGAGCTGGGTCTTCAGCGATTCAGTCCGAGGTTTCTGACCATGGCGGGATACACAAACGGTGCTCTCACCAGCCTTCCTCTGCAGTCTCTCAATACCTGCCGCTGCACTTAGCTGTGCCATGCATATCTCATTTTCCTCTTGGTGGTGAAGTGGTTGTAGCATTGCTGCCATGCATGTCCATTGGAGCAGCAGCCTTGGAAACACCACGGTTGTGGTGCAATCTGCACATACTAAGCTTGCGCTATGCGCAAAATGCTGCCGCTTTCAAAGGTGGAACATTCTGCGTGGTGCGCGCCCCTTTCTGTTGAGAATGGCCATGGGTTTCCGCAACTTTCCCGGCCCAAATGCGCTGATGCCGCATCATTTGGGACGAGACAAGAGGCAACAGCGGGCAATTGGCGTGATTTCTGCCATTTTTATCTCAGGAATGCGCCCAGGGTTCTCCAAATTTTTTGTTCGAGTGACGTCCCCCACTCTTCCACACAGCTTCATGCAGCTGCTCTTGCAAGTTTGT